TCACTATAATTTTGTTTATTTTTCGAGACAGCTTGAATAAAAACTTTGTCATTACAAAAATATTTTCTGAATACAGTAAATTACTAAAGATAATACTATAGCCTGGTCTCTCCCACACTGATAGTTAACACCACTCTTACATAATCCATCACTTAATCCACTTTTGTTTTGATTAATAAGTGGAACAAACTTTTTGCATTAGTTTAAATAATTTATGAGTATTTCTTGCATAGCCAGAAAACTTTTTAAAAGATACAGAAGGCAGCAGAGAGAGAATGAGAATGAGAATTTGAGAGAATGAGAATACTGGAGTGACTTATAATCACTAGTGAAAAAGCTGTAACTGAAGTGTGATGCACAAGAGTAAAAGCCATTACCAAACAAATAATTAAAAAACCCCAGTGGTATGTAGTCCAAAAAACATACTTTACACTTAGACTAACTAAAGCTTGAGCACTAACATTTTGGTGAAGGGCAATATAAAAGAAATACACCATCATATAACTCTTTAAAATAAAATCTCTCATATAAAATATATGACCTGAATAATGGCTACATAATACAGCAGAAATTATATAATAAATCCTCACTGTAAATGCAAAAATTCTTAAGAAATAGTATTGCATCAGGAAAAACAACATACAGATGCCTTGTAATAACCACATTCTTTAAGTTGCATTCAAGGTGAAGGCTGAGGACAAGAGCTCTGCCCCAATAGCTACATCTAAAGAATAAGATTCACTTAACCAACAACCTTCATCTTTACATGAAGGTTAATCACTAGCTGTAGATAAAAAACCTGTTAGTACTCATCACATACATGGAATGGCACACAGGAAAACAAAAGCTTGCAATACACACCAATATATAATTCCATGTGAATTTCATATAAAATTCTGAAAAAACATTAAAAGCAATAAGATTTTTTTTTGTTAACCAATATCACCTATTAAGGCAAAAATAAAAACAATCCATAAAAAAAAAAATTGATTGAAAAAAATTGCTCTATAGCCTTATTGCTTCCTAACTGTAAATCTTCTAGATCCTTTAGATCACACTGGCAAACTGAATCCCCATTCATTAGCAAATTCACATACATGCTTACCCATTACATTAATGATATAACTTTGGTCATTATTATTAAGAGATCAGCTGCCATAACTATAAATATTTATAATCACATGACTTTACACAATACCTTAATTCAGAAATATACAGCACTATACCGTATTTCACATGTTCTCAAAATATTCACACAAATGTACTAGTCATTTACTCACGAAAGATTTGTATAATAAGATATAAGACATTACTTCAAAAACACCAATCTCATACATATATCCATTCACTACAAACTTAAAGCAAAACCGATGAAGACTTTTAGTAGGTTGATACGTTTAATTCAGTCAACCAACACTTAACAATGTGGTATTAAAAAGTTAAATAAAAGTGCTGGAAAATAACAAAGTGATGCTAATATACTTGTAACTCAAACATGTTCAAATTTGGAATTATTTGGAAAATCTTTCAAGCTGTTTCCCACTGTAAATTATTTAAAAAAATTAAAGTAGTTATTTTAAAAGCTCTAATATTAGCCATCAAGTTAATTAGGTAACAAAGGAGATTAGATGCTATGACCTCATGCACTTTGTTTACACTCATATTCAACTCTGGATGACAAAACCTAAACTTGTCACACACACAGACAAGACTGGATAAAACACAATAAAATTTAGGGGATTAAAATTTTATTCCAAACCCCTTTTTATACAATTTTGGCAAGGATGGCAAAAAAATTTAATTTTCAGACAGACAAGTCTACCACTTTTTATCCTTACTGGCCAACACAGTGACTACTTCAACAACCTTCATTATAGACTTTAATATAATTGACACAAATCACAACTTTCTCTAATCCATTACCTGTTGTAAAGAAGGCAAGGAACAAAGATTTCAATTAATTCATAACTACTGTACTCATCAACACAAACATTCTCTCTCTCTCTCTTATATATACATATCTGTAACACACAACTCTCATCATCCTTTCATTCATCTCGATAAAAATACTCATACATTTTTTTAACAGAATTTACTTGCAGAATTTTATACAGATGCAGAAAGCCACAATCATTCAAGAAATGGAGATATCAGTGGTCATAAGAAAATGGGGATACACATACTATTAGGCAGATGCAACAATTCTTCAAAGACAAAGAAGACATGCACTCACATTATGAAAGAATACATTCACAGAGTGGGAAGATACAAACAATACCAGAGAAGAAAGAATGGTTTACTGAAGTAGAGGGAAAGATCTACAGAGAGGAGAGGAAAGTCAGACATTCCCAAAATTAGAGTGGGGATATTGGTCTTCATACCAAATGAGGAGAGAAGACACTATACACACATATTAATAGAGGCACTATGAAGGAAAAAAAAAATATTTGCACTGAATTCTACAGCTACTGTGCCACAAAACATGGCTGATACTTTTTCTTATAGCTGCTTGTGTCAATGAAGCTACCTTGCATAACACTTTCCAATACATCCTAAAACACAGTTAACATTGAAGAGTGACCCTTAACTAATCTCATGTGGACACACTGATATGTAGCAAGTTGTGGCCATTACAATACTCATAATTAATTCATAAAAACCCAAAAGACAAAATTAATTTAACAACTCTCAAAATTTAGTAATTACCTAATGATGCATTTTGCTTAGAAGATACTGGAGAAAAATGTTTGCATCATAACAGTCCCCTTGTAGTTTTAAATTACTTAACACTGATATAATTACCATTTAAAAAGTTTTTAAATTTAGACATCTTAACCTTCAATACATGAAAATAGAAACCAACACATGTACAGTAAGGTAAATGGTATAAACATTTCTAAATTTCTGGTTTAAAATAATTTATAAGCAAATATGGCAGCAGATGTCTTGAGAAAACTAACCTGTTAAGGTACAGACATAAAAAAATTAAGACGAAAAGAAATGTTCAGTTTACTTAGTAATAAAGTCTATTTTTTACTAGAAATTGCTTAATCAAAATATTTTTTTACTATAATGCTAGAAATCCTGTGTGTGAATGAAATTCTGAGAGATTACAATTCCAGATTACAGTTGTAGGGGCATCTGATATATTAGATCTTACATGAATGTAGTGATAAAATGAGAATTCAATTATAACCATTCTGGTTGAACCTTACAACATATCAAAAAAAATATTACCCATCTGCAAAGAGGCAGCTACAGAACAGAATGACAGACATATCTGAAGAAACCATAGTAACTGATATTAGCAGCAAATAACATACAATTTTAGCATACCATGTACACAAATATGTTGTGAATTCATTATACATATCAGGATACATAGAATTCCAAGGTTACTCACTGATCTGGTACATCAATGAAAGTGGGCACATAATTCCCAACAAGTGTGTTTCAGAGTTGGTCATGCAAAACAAGCACCAAACCATTTCAAATGAAGTTAAGCCTGTTTCTTATGTTCACACTGCTAATGCCAAGCGAATGAGTGAATGGGTAAGCAGTGAAAGAATAATAATCTCATCAATAAATAATAAAAATTAAAAGCATTTACATAATACTCATCATATGGCATAACTGAATAACATCAATAAAACTTTGATGGTATCTACATACCAATGCTGCAATATCAAGTGAATACCCTAACATCATTGTGGATGATTATATATTCTGATATTTATGAAATACAGTGCTTACTAGTACATATCCTAAAAAAAAAAAAAAAAAAAAAAATCTGATTACTTTTCAATATGCAATTTTAACTCATCATCCTACAGTACCTAGTAATTCAAATAGTGTGAATTTTCTACATACAAAGCTAAATTTTAGATAAACTTTACATTATAGCTAACCACTTTAAAATATACACATTTCAAAAACAGGTGAAGTTTTATGCTAAAACCCATCTGCTGCAAAAAACAAAACTTGCATGCATCATAAAAACTGTCATACCAAAGAGACTATTAATTGTATTAGAGCAGTCATAGTCTTGAAAAACTATGTATCCTTAACCATAGTCTTAGCTTGAGTGACTTAAAAAAAAAAAAAAGCACCACATGAAAATAATATAAGTAAGTAATGACTGGGTACTAAGTGACTTAGAAAATATTATGGCCTTGCATAACAGTAACATCAGGTAATGAGAACTCAAACATCTGGACCCTGTTTCATAAGATAATATAATGGGGGTACTCACTCTTATTACCCTTGGCCTAGTTCTCACTCATATCTCTTAATTTCTCGAAAGATCTGGAAATGCTCAAATGCAAACATATTGCTTGTCCAAAGCAGGAAGTAAAACTTTTATTTTTCCAGCAGGAAACCTTAAATAAAACTCTAGGCTTCTCTTGGGCTACCTTATGTCCAGCATGACTGATTTTTTTTTTTAAAGTTCCTAAAATATCCAAATAACATTATAATGTCATTTTAAAGAATTTAATAGGAAATTAGTTTCGAAATGATATTACATGCATCTATGTTTCTCTGAAATAATATGTCATGCATTTGTTTCTGTTTCTTCTCATTAATTATTCTGGAGACCGAACAATAAAATTTCAGATATGAAAGCAATTCTGCAAATTGAGAAGCCATACTAAATGATCATTTATGATAAGTCAGTGGCACTGCCTACTTGATCCAAGGTACTTTTTGATTTATTAGTTTATAATTTATGTAATTCCTGCAACACAAATATATATACAAGTTCAGGATGCACCAGAATTTCATAACTATCATTTTAGCAAACCAATAAATGCAATTCCTCCATTTTTTCATTTGTAAATACAACATAAAAAAACTGGGGATTTATCCACCTAAAAGAGTGTAATACCTATCACTGGAATGCACAAGATTTGCCTAAAAGGAAGCATGGGAGATCGAAGCACTATGCATGTTCCGCTAAGGAAGAAATTTATACTTGTTGGTAGCTACATCTGTTGGAGAGAAAAAAAAACTACCAATATTTTAATTTATGTTATGCTAGCAAGTGGTAACATCTCTCGCTCCTCCCTTTAGCACCATCCTATGTTAAGCTGAGAAAAACTCAACTAGTATAAGTCATCAGTCACTGGCCTCACCACAAAAACTCTTCTTTGGCCTCTTGAATACTCACGCAGTTACATTTCTACTATCACAAAATAAGTGTATCTAAGAAATGTTTGAAAAAATTTTTAATACTTCACTCAAAAGTATAATTCCTCTTTCAAATAAACATCACATTCAATGTGAAAAATAATTCACTCATATATCAAGCTTTCCATCACTCGTGTGTCCCATTCAGATGAAATAATTGAACATATTCAACTGGATACTGCTCGTTTTGTCATTATTAGCTATTCATTAATGATAAAATGTATTTTATAATTAAAATTTATCACCAGAACATCAACACCATCACATATGAAGAATGATCAACAAAATTTCATCCCTCACAAAACAGCAACCATATCCATATTGGTGTGAGTGCTTCTTCCATAATGCTGCCACTAGTAGTAATATATATTATTGCACCACAACATTTTTGTACTCAAGACCTGGCAGTCTTTGGTACATTGCACATCTCTTCAATGTTTGCCTCCTTACACTCAGCACCGTGGTGACCTACCTGCCCACAGTTGTAGCAAGTCTTCTTGGCACCGGCGGACGGATTGGGTGTGTGGGGCAGGGCAGGAGGGTAATGAGTATAGGGCATGCCAGCTGCAAGTCCTGGTCCAGGTGTGGAGGGTGGCCCAATCCCAGTTGGGGTGCCACAGGCAGTACCTGGGCCTCCTCCACCCTGGGTGGTGCCTCCTAAAAGAGGATACTGACCACTATACACAAATTCTGCATTTATCCCATTACCCACTGAAGGAAATGCAAAGTTTGGGGGTAAAGAAGGAGAAACAAAGCCATTGGAAAGAGCAGAACTGTGTGCTGGCATAAACCCCGGAAATTGTGGAAACACTGGTGCACTCATAACCACGGGGTAGCCAGGAGCATTGTACGGCACACTACTGTGCGGAGCCCCAGTGCAAGAATTGCTAGGAGGTGCCTGGGCAGTGGGAGTTGAGGCCACACTAGGGACGGGTGTGTGGGCTGTAGGAGGCTGTGGGCCATCTGGATGGGTGGCTGCAGTGTGTGGAGATCCACCATTTCGTCCAAGACTGTTTCCAGTTAAGGTACTGGGCACTGTGTTAATTTCAGATGGCGAGCGTAAACAACACTGAGGGTCTTGTTGCACTAGTGGCACCGATCCCGGAGCAGGTGGCGTAGTTTCGCGATTTGACTTATCACAATTCAGTGGAACAGGATTTCTGGGTACCACCATTTGTGTTTGGGCTGGCAACGGTAAACTTGGATATCTAATCATTCCTCCTTGGGGAAAACCAACATACCCCAGATGAGGGTAAGGCATAATACGAGGCCGTGTCAAGGTTGCCTGTGGAGGCAGCAGAATAGGATTAGGATGATGATGTAAGGGAGGTGGAGTGCCTTCTTCACTTGCACCTGACCCTAACAAACTCGAATCTCCAGCTTCACAAATATCCATTGCATCTCCCTGACCTTTGCCTGAAAGATTTGAAAGAATACTAGTAAGCACTTTTACACATACACTGGAAAAAATGAAAAGGCATTAGTAATATTACTATTTAAATAATATGTCTACATTTGATGCTTTGCTTCCTCTGGAAGCTCCTAATATTTGAATACTTGTACATAATCTTCTTTAAAAATTTATTTGTTGATAACAATAAGTCAATCAACCACACACACACACACACACACACACACACTACCTCTCATTCACTGACTCATTTTTTTTTTGCGGGGGTTTACGAAAATCTCTGATGTATGTTTTTGTTGTAAATGATAATGCAGAAAAATATTAACAAATGTGCAAAAACTCTGTGCTACGGTGATTTGAAATCAACTGTCTTTCTCCAGCTTGTTACCAGCATACCAGTTATCCAACCAGTACACTCACTGTTATCAATGTTGGAATGTTTCAACATTACTGATAGTATGTCAGAAAAAGGTGAATGTTTAAAAATTAGTAGTGCCTGCATGCTGAGGAAGGACTGGCTATATTGCAGAATAGAGGGTCATCTGAAGTGTAACATCTGCACCACTTCTAGAAAAATAGTTATTAAATGAAGGATGGTAAGGGGGGAGGGTCCATACCTTGGTGGAAAATGGCAAATGTTAACCCTTTCAGGGTCGCCAGGGCCTCTCAGAGAATTGTTCTCAGGGTCGCCAAAATTAAAAAAAAAAAAAAAAAAAAAAATTATTTTTTATGAAAAGATTGTTTTTTTTTCTAAACATTATAGGCTAAACAAAATTTTTTTAACATCAATACTTACCAAGATATGGAGGCATGAAGTTGACAGAAAATGACCGGCATACGGTAACATCGCCAACTGCCGGTCACCCGGTATTACTTTACACCTACCATCGGACTTACGACCTGCTCGACTTACGACCACTCGACTTACGACTGTGTTTTTTATGCCAAATTTCTGGGAAATAAACAACTATTTGTTTTGTACACAGTGATTATCCTAAACCTTACAGTATAAAATACAGTACTAACAGCATAAAAAGTAAAGTAAAACATGAAATACCAAAATAAAGCATTAAAATAAAGTCATTACAAAAATGTTTTGTTGATATTCAGTAGTAAAGTTCGACTTACGACCATTTCGACTTACGACGGGTTTCTCGGAACCGAACTCGGTCGTAAGTCGGATGGTAGGTGTATTTAGTTTTTTAGGTACTATTTTTTATTATTTAAAAAAAAAAAAATTTCCAAGTAACTTTTATGGCCTGTGAGACCAATATGAGCACTATTTCATAATTTTTTTCTCTTTATTTACTATACAATAACTGCACAAACACTGTTGTCCTTATATTGTTTATAATTGTTTACACACACAAACGATATAAAATGTTGTTTATTACTATGTATTTTTCTATATTTTATATACACATATACAGTCACAGGGAATGTTTCTAGAAGTTCTGCAGCCTGTGGAAGTCTTTGAAACATGGTGTCATGCACAGTGGTGTTTTACACTCCTCACACATAAAATGAGTGTCTCTGCGTTGTTGTGGGCGTTTTTTTCTATGTGCACAGACATAACACCTCTTCTGAGCCTTTTTCTTGAAAGCAGTAGCAGGCAGTTTTACTAGGAAGTGATCACCATGCTTCAGACGAGAAGGTAGTTGTTGATAATTTAGTGGGCGGTCTATTGCAGGTGTTGTTCCTTGGTACTTGAATACTATTTGTCTGATGACAGACAAACAGAATTCGCCATATGGTGGTTTGTTTCTGGTCCTCATCTTATACATATTATAAGCATTGAGCATGGAAATATCCAGAAGATGGAAAAAGAGTTTTATGTACCACTTATAACTTTTGCGAACACAATTTGCATGTCACATTTGTCCAATGAGCGCATATTGAGGGTGTAATCAACCACAGCTGCAGGTTTTAGAATGGGTTCATTGCTCTCTCTATGCTGCCTGCCAGTGTTTGTCATTTCGTTAGGGTGAACTGATGACAACAGTGTGACATCTCGTTTCTCATGCCACCGAAATGCCATGATGCCATTGGCAGCAAACGCCTGCACCTCACCTCTACGAGTGCCAGCATCAAACCTGGGCATATGTTTACGATTTGCATGCACTGTGCCACACACATCTGCCATGTTCACTCGCAAAAAAATCACTGAGTGAGGGGCTTGTGTACCAGTTATCAGTATTTAATATATGCCCCTTACCAAGATATGGTTCTATCATTGTTCTAACCACATTACCAGAGATGCCCAATAACTTCCTGGTGTTTTGCAATTTATAACTTCCAGTGTACACAATAATATCCAATACAAGACCACTGTAACAATCACAAAGCACAAACAACTTTATCCCAAAGCGTTTCCTCTTGCTTGGTATGTACTGCTTGAAAGAGAGTCTTCCTTTGAATAGAATCAAAGACTCGTCAATTACAAGCTTCCTGAAGGGATAAAAATACATATTGAATTTCTCTTTCAGATACACAAACACATTCCTAATCTTATATAACCTGTCATTTCTGTCAGGCCTGGTTTTGTCTGAGAAGTGAAGCATACGTAATAGTAGCACAAATCGATTCACTCCCATCATATCACTGAAACCTGGGATTGCAATCAGGTGGTCTCTTGACCAGTATGATTTCACACTATGCTTATACACATGTGGTATAAGCATTATTGTGGCAAAGAAAAGATACATCTCAGCCACAGTTGTCTCCTTCCACTTGTGTAGACGTGATTTTGGTGAAAGTACAGTGGTCCCTCGTATTTCGTAATTAATCCGTTCCTGGAAGTGCGACTATTATCGAAATTGACGATTTTCGAATCCATTTTCCCCATAAGAAATAATGTAAACCCAATTAATTCGTTCCAGACACCCAGAAGTATCAACAACAATTTCTTTTTACCTTAAAGATAGATTTACATGCACAAAAGAATGAACATTCAACATGACAGTTACCTTTATTGAAGGCTGTTGTTGATGAATGGAAGACAGGGAGGAGGAGAGTGGGAAGAGAGGTTATTGTTTGGAAGGGGAATCCCCCTTCATAAGGACTAGGTCACTTCAGGGGTCACTTCCCTAGCTTAAATATGGATTTACATGCAGAAAAGAATACCAAATAAATGTAAAGCATTAATAAAATGTAAATGAACATTGGTAATAGGGGTAGTTGATGAGTGGAACGGTATGCCTAGTAGGGTGATTGAAGCTATAACATTGGGTAGTTTCAAATTTAGGATGGATAAATACATGAGAGGGGTTGGTTTGAATCGGGATTGCACATGAGTAAATAGGTTTATCAAACCTTATTGCTTGGGTAGCAGTTATGCTGTTAGTGGGTTGGATTTGCGAAGGACCTGCCTAGTATGGGCCAACAAGCCTACTGCAGTGTTCCTCCTTTCTTATGTTCTAAAAGCTATGACTTGGGTAGTTTCAAATTTAGGTTAGATAAATACATGAGTGAGAGGAATTGGATTTGATTCAGACTTGCACCTGAGCTTTTTACTTGGGTAGCATTTGTTCTGTTAGTGGGTTGGATTTGTGAAGGACCTGCCTAGTATGGGCCACCAGGCCTGTTGCAGTGTTCCTCCTTTCTTAAGTTCTTATTTAACATTACACTTACCTTTATTGAAGACTTGGTTGTATGAGGAAGGGATGGTGAGTTTATTGTTGGAGAAAATGACACTAATATCAACTCTGCGGCTTATTTATCTATCACAATTCAACTAATATGACATAATAAACAATACTAATAACACAGAAACATGGAATATACTCTAGAATGAATAAAATAAACCATTATGTATGTCACAAGGTGTTGTGTTTTGTTGGGTGTATAAGGGCCACTGAGAGTAGGCCATCCATAATGGTGGTGAAGGACCAGCTGAGGTGGTGGTGTTTTCTGTAGCCCTATATAACTCCAACAACATTGGAGGAGTTAGTAGTATCACTGAATCACTGAAGAAGGCACCCTCTACCAGCATCACAACCACTACCACCATCTACCACCATCACTACCACCTTCTACCACTATTGCAACTGCTACCACCATCACTACCACCTTCTACCACTATTACAACTGCTACCACCATCACTACCACCTTCTACCACTATTACAACTGCTACCACCATCACTACCACCCTATACCACCATCAACCACTATCACAACTGCTTCCACTCTACCACCATCACCTTCGTATTTTTCTACAAACTTTTTCTTAAATTAGTGTGTGTTTCTCACATTCTTTACAAAAGGGCTGGCACTAGAAGGTTTCTTTGGAGCCATGGTGACTTATTTAGCAGTTGCAAGCACTAAAATAAATGGAATATTATGAAATGTATCATATGAACTCGTGGGATCATCCTCACTCACTGATAAAGAATGGCACACTGGCTGGGAATGGAGTGTGAGGCGGCTCAGGGCTGTGTGTACACATCCCAGACGAACAACTATTTGCGAGTCAAACAACGATTCACGAGGCAATGTTTTGATGAAAATAACGTTACGATTTTCGAAAATTACAACTATCGAGGGACCACTGTATTGCATTTGCCATGGTGTACTCGTAGTATCTGTTGCTTTCCCTGACAATAATTTCCATCAGGGGTTCATCAAATAACAACTCGAAACATTCCAGTTCACTGGCATTGTTTCCCAGTGTACAACATGGCCGTATTCCACTTTGGCTTTCATCAAACTGGTGGGGATTTGGAACAAAACTGACAGCTTCCTGCCAATCCCAGGTGTGGTCTGCTGGTGGGTACTGGACACTGACAGGTGGTTGTGGTTGTGGAGACTGGTGTGGTGGGTGGGTGGGGGATGGTGGCCTTTGTTGTAGATCAGCTGAGGCAGCGGCGTGGGTGGCGGCATGGGTGGCAGCGTGGGTGGCAGCATGGCCCACTGCTGGTGCCTCACTGCCAGCACCACCACTACCACCACCATGCACATTTTCCATCCAAATTGCAACACTATCATCGTCATTTTCACTGTCTGTTC